AACTTGCAAAACGAAAATCTTTATCTGAGGAAGAAAGCAGAATACAGGTGTCATCACCAGTGGAAAATACACATGTTTTCTCAGCTCCAATGACAACTTCGTTACGCACGGAAATCTTAAAACATAATATTAATATGGCCAGGGCCAATTGTGATGAATCACTCATTGATAAAGAGATTAAAAATATAAAAAACCACGTGTTAATTTGTGATAACAGTAACGAATTTCCTCTTAATTTAGATATCTTTATAATGGTGCTTCGTGAGAACAATTCAAAGTGTCATAATATGCCAGTGGTTATCCTTTCATATAGTCAACCATCGGAATCGCAGAAGCAGGCATTAAAAAAATTTAAGGATGTATATTTTGTTCATGGGTCACCTTTGAGACGGAACGATCTTTTCCGAGCTAGAGCTCATGTTGCGAAAAAATGTATGATATTGAGTAGTGTGACAAGTCATTATGGGTGAGTTTTTTTTTTTAAAAAAAAAATAATAATAATAATTTGAATTAAATCAATTAACATGATAATGGTAATCAATTATAATGGTTTATTATCGTAGGACAAACGATGGAACGGCAGATGCCACTTCACTTATGACGGCATTGAATATTGAGGCACTTGCACTAGATGACTGCTTTATATTGGTTGAGTGTGTACACCGAGAAACATTTAAAATGATAGGAGAAAGTGATTCGATTAAGAATAATCAAGAAGATTATAGTGAGTATTCAATTGCAATTATTATTGTTTTATGTATCAAAATATCTAAATTATTATATTCGTTTAGTTCAAGCACTAATGCGACCATCTTTTATGAACGGAAACGTGTTTACACCCAGCTATTTAGATACAATGCTTTGTCAATGGTAAAAAAAAAATTATATTTTTTGAAATGTCTTTGTTAATTTCGTGAGCACTAATTGAGTATGATTGTAAAAATAATAGTTTTTATAATCGCCACATTCCTATGATCTTGAAACGGTTAACATTTAGTCATGGTATAGATGACGAAAGCTTGTCACCAAAGATTGATATACAACAGGATGATGGCAATTATTGGACTAATCTTGGTCTTAGTTCAGGTCATGTGTTTCAGGTTGGAATCCCTCCTTTATATATAGGTACGTAAGATACATAGAGTTAGATATTTTAAATGACTAGTAATAATTAGAAACTAATACATCAATTTTCTTTAAAGGTCAAAAATATAAAGCGCTTCACAGACATCTAGTCAGAGCGCATAAAGCAATAGCGCTTGGACTATACCGATATGTTATACATCATAATCAAGGATTACGGTATGTTTACGTTAGTCCTGATAAAAATTGCATTTTAAAGGAGAAGGATCTAGTGTATATTATAGCTTCAAAATCACCAGTTTTTGATGGTATTAGTACCGTTCCGGAAGAGTGAAAAGTAGATAATATATACATTTTATATCTTATTATTGGTATTGTATATAAATCATACTTTTTGAATATTTACTTTTAACAAAAATATTTAAAATCATGTAACTTAGCAATTATTATTTTAATATAATAACATTGAAATTTTAGGTATTCAGTTATTTTTTTTCAAGATATTTTTATTAAAAGTAAATATTCAGAAAGCATGATTTACAAGTTTTCCCTGACTGTCACCCATATATAGTCCATTGTTTTGTATCGG